CACACTATATCAAGACACAAGAACAGTCCAAGAGAATCAGAATTCTTCTAATCATTTTGCCAACTTCAGATGTTTCTATGTTTGATCGGATTCATATTTCATTTTGCAGATATGCTTACCCACCACCCGATGCAAATATACTAGCCAACATTACTAATGCCCTTATCGCTGTCCCACCGTTATACACCCAGGTTAGCTTTACTGTCACTGTGTATAACCGGTGGATATAACTTATGATCTGTGGATATGAACTATATAGTGGAGTGCAGAAAAGTACAAGAAAGTTTAATCATAAAGCTCTTGATCACAGGTGTTGCATCTGATGAACAAAATGAATCTTCCACCTCCTTTTCGTCTGGCCCTGCCCATACCACCTCTACCTAAAGCAGCTCCCCAACCAACTGAGTTGGAGCATCCATCTAGTAGCGAGTCAGAGATGGAATCTGATGAGGTATGACTCGTCATGCAGTTTATGAATGTAGTCAAATAGTTTCATGCTAAGCTCATTTTGGTTGTTTCTTTCTCGTATTTTTGTGTGTGTGAACCTGTGTGATAATCAATGTAAATATGTCCTTGGAAGTTATTAGTGTTTTCTCTGCTCTTTATATTTCATTGTTATTGAGTACTCGGGGTAAGAATTGTGATGACATTATGTTTAGGATACAGGTAAATCAAAATCCGGAAGGAAGCGTGCTAGGCATGAAACTGCTGTTGGTCCTGGTACGGACAAGGATGTGACACATGAGACTGTTGGAGTGAAGCCCTCCTCCTTGACCCCAAAGGAGATCCCTCGAATAAGAAAGAATAAACATGTTATGCAGGTATCCTAATGTCCATAGTTACCTTTCAATTTATTATGCTGTGTATTTGTGCTGATATTTGTAAGGTCCGCTAGATCAAGATTGCGCCAAAAGTTGGTCAAGACGAAAACAGAAAGGATGTTGAGAATGATGGCCCTGCAGAAGAGATCATGGAAGAAAGTTCAGATTTGAAACCCTTTGCGAGTTTAGAGGAGTTGGAGAAAGGAAGGTTGTCTCCACATGATATTCTTTCACTGCCTATGTTCAAGGTATGGATATTAGGATCAGGTTATCATATTTTTGAAAAACATATTCACTGAGAGGAAAATGGTTTTTGGTTTTGTTGTGTGCAGAACTACACAGCTGGGAATCCATCGCTTGTGCTGTATATCAAAAACCTTGCCAAAGATGTTACTGTTGATGATTTCTATTACATATTTGGTAAGATGTAGCTCTGTTAGTTAAATCAAAAATCTAGAGTCGTTAACTTACGAGTTATCTTTCTGCAAGTCAATTCATAGCTAAATATTGTGGCACTGATGTAGGGTCACAATTTGGAAGCATCGAAGCAGCTAAATCCAGTCTTGGCGTGAGGCTGATGCAGGTGTCATTAATGGAACTTGGCTTGGATTATTATCAGTCTTCTTGTTTTTCGACTATGATTTTAATGTGAGAATTAATGATATTACAGGAAGGGAGGATGAGAGGGCAAGCTTTTTTGACATTTCCATCTGTTGAAGTGGCACATCGTTCTCTGGTTATAATCCCTGACACCTTCTTGCTCTGTTCAAATGTGGATTTCAGTCTGAACACTATTTATAAGATGTTTATACCATTGACAAGCATTTTGTGCTTGAAGATCAGACACACGTGTTTATTTAGTTTACCCACAGACGGAGGAAAGTGACTGATGTGTTGTTCTTTGTGATTTTGCAGAATCTTGTAAATGGCTTTGTGTTCAAAGGAAAACCAATGATAATCCAGTTTGGCAGAAATCCTGGAGCAGCCAAGCCAAACGAATGATGATGATTTATAAACACTAACAGGATTGTTATCTTTACAGGATTTCATGTAATTCTTCTGAGTAAGAGATTAAATTCAATAAATAATCGGTGGCCTAATTTTTATGGCTCCAGATGTCAATGCTATATATTGCTTTCTCAAAATAAGTTCTTGCTGGAGTTGTGAGACAAATTATGTTCTTGTTTGCTTCACGTAGACCCATCGCTCTTCGCTCTTACACCATCAAGCATTCTTCTTCTTGTTCGACTTTGCTTTCTCAGGTTAAGCATCGTGAGAACAACATCACGATTCAACACCTTCACTCTCTTCTGCGCAAAAATGAATCGAACCCGAGAATCATCCACCAGCTCCACTCTCACTTCACCACTACTGGGCTTCTTCTCCTTCATCCGAAGCAAAACTCTGATACACTTTTCCTATTCAATCCTCTGCTTCGATGCTATTCTCTGAGCGAATCTCCGCTTCATGCTTACTTCCTCTACGACCAACTCCAGCAGCTCCATTTCCTCTCTGATCACCAACAGACCCAGAGACTCCCTCCTTTTGGTAGCTTCACTTATCTCTTTCTCCTGAAAGCGACTTCGAATCCGCGATTCCCGTATCTACTCTTAGGAATCGGAATCCATGGCTTGACGGTAAAACTGGGTTTTGGAATTCAAGTCCACGTGCAGACAGCTTTGATTGGTCTTTATCTTGCCGCTGGAAACACGATTGATGATGCTTATAAAGTGTTCGATGAAATGCCTGAGAGAAGTCCTGTAACTTGGAATGTGATGATCACCGGCCTGACTAATCTCGGAGAGTTCGAAAAAGCTCTGAGCTTTCTCGAGAAGATGCCGAATCGAACGGTGGTGTCTTGGACCACTCTCATTGACGGGTACGCACGAGTAAACAAACCAAAGGAAGCTATACTCTTGTTCTCGAGAATGGTTGCTTGTGACGCAATCAAGCCCAACGAGATCACCATTCTCGCGATTCTTCCAGCTGTTTGGAGCTTCGGAGATCAAAGAATGTGCGACTCGGTTCATGGTTACGTTGCGAAGAGAGGGTTTGTGAAATCTGACATCCGTGTGACAAACTCTCTCATCGACGCTTACGCGAAATGTGGGTGTATCCAAAGCGCGTTGAGGTTTTTCCTGGAGATTCCAAACGGAAGAAAGAATCTCGTGTCATGGACGACGATGATCTCGGCGTTTGCAATGCACGGGATGGGGAGAGAAGCGGTTAGTGTGTTCAAAGACATGGAGAGATTCGGGTTGAAGCCGAACAGAGTGACGATGATCAGTGTTTTGAACGCTTGTAGCCATGGAGGCTTAGCAGAGGAAGAGTTTCTTGAGTTTTTTGACAAGATGGTGAGCAAGTACAAGATCACACCGGATGTGAAGCACTATGGATGTTTAGTAGATATGCTGAGAAGGAAAGGAAGATTAGCTGAAGCAGAGAAGATTGCTTTGGAGATTCCGATTGACCAAAAGGCTGTGGTTTGGAGAATGCTGCTTGGAGCTTGTCGCGATTATGATGATCCTGAGATGGCTGAGAGGGTTGGTGGGAAGCTAATGGAGTTGGAGAAAGGCCATGGAGGAGATTATGTGCTTATTTCTAACGTTTTTTGTGGTAGTGGGAGATTTACAGATGCTCAGAGATTTCGAAAATTGATGGATGTTAGAGGTGTAGCTAAACTTCCAGGACATTCACAATTAACATAGCACAACATATTAGATAATGAGAACCTCCTCTTTATTTGAAGTGTTAACGTTTTTTCATCAGTTTTGGTGCTAAAAGAAGTTCAAATATTTTTGTAATAAAACTTTACTTTTATGGGGTCATTTGTCATTATTAATTGATGAAAGTCAATTTTTGAGTAGCTTGTACGCTAATTCTTCACACATGTTTGGATAAGTATGGGTCCATCTAGTTATCTTATACACTACAAGTGAGTTTCCACAATGTGGAGTCACAGAGGTACATTTCGGACTCCTTACCTCTTCCGGTTCCCAAATTAGGTCCATTTGATGTTCCTCCCTTGGATTGAGACCGTTTCACTCATGTTTGTCCTCATAGTCATGTGTAGAACCTATTAATCCATGTTTGGATAAGTATGGGTCCATCTAGTTATCTTATACACTACAAGTGAGTTTCCACAATGTGGAGTCACAGAGGTACATTTCGGACTCCTTACCTCTTCCGGTTCCCAAATTAGGTCCATTTGATGTTCCTCCCTTGGATTGAGACCGTTTCACTCATGTTTGTCCTCATAGTCATGTGTAGAACCTATTAATCCATGTTTGGGTATAGTAGTAATGTTTCCATGTCATCAGTTCATCTTATACACTACAAGTGAGTTTCCACAATGTGGAGTCACAGAGGTACATTTCGGACTCCTTACCTCTTCCGGTTCCCAAATTAGGTCCATTTGATGTTCCTCCCTTGGATTGAGACCGTTTCACTCATGTTTGTCCTCATAGTCATGTGGAGAACCTATTAATCCATGTTTGGGTAAGTATGGGTCCATCTAGTTCATCTTATACACTACAAGTGAGTTTCCACAATGTGGAGTCACAGAGGTACATTTCGGACTCCTTACCTCTTCCGGTTCCCAAATTAGGTCCATTTGATGTTCCTCCCTTGGATTGAGACCGTTTCACTCATGTTTGTCCTCATAGTCATGTGTAGAACCTATTAATCCATGTTTGGGTAAGTATGGGTCCATCTAGTTCATCTTATACACTACAAGTGAGTTTCCACAATGTGGAGTCACAGAGGTACATTTCGGACTCCTTACCTCTTCCGGTTCCCAAATTAGGTCCATTTGATGTTCCTCCCTTGGATTGAGACCGTTTCACTCATGTTTGTCCTCATAGTCATGTGTAGAACCTATTAATCCATGTTTGGGTAAGTATGGGTCCATCTAGTTCATCTTATACACTACAAGTGAGTTTCCACAATGTGGAGTCACAGAGGTACATTTCGGACTCCTTACCTCTTCCGGTTCCCAAATTAGGTCCATTTGATGTTCCTCCCTTGGATTGAGACCGTTTCACTCATGTTTGTCCTCATAGTCATGTGTAGAACCTATTAATCCATGTTTGGGTAAGTATGGGTCCATCTAGTTCATCTTATACACTACAAGTGAGTTTCCACAATGTGGAGTCACAGAGGTACATTTCGGACTCCTTACCTCTTCCGGTTCCCAAATTAGGTCCATTTGATGTTCCTCCCTTGGATTGAGACCGTTTCACTCATGTTTGTCCTCATAGTCATGTGTAGAACTATTAATCCATGTTTGGGTAAGTATGGGTCCATCTAGTTCATCTTATACACTATACAAGTGAGTTTCCACAATGTGGAGTCACAGAGGTACATTTCGGACTCCTTACCTCTTCCGGTTCCCAAATTAGGTCCATTTGATGTTCCTCCCTTGGATTGAGACCGTTTCACTCATGTTTGTCCTCATAGTCATGTGTAGAACCTATTAATCCATGTTTGGGTAAGTATGGGTCCATCTAGTTCATCTTATACACTACAAGTGAGTTTCCACAATGTGGAGTCACAGAGGTACATTTCGGACTCCTTACCTCTTCCGGTTCCCAAATTAGGTCCATTTGATGTTCCTCCCTTGGATTGAGACCGTTTCACTCATGTTTGTCCTCATAGTCATGTGTAGAACCTATTAATCCATGTTTGGGTAAGTATGGGTCCATCTAGTTCATCTTATACACTACAAGTGAGTTTCCACAATGTGGAGTCACAGAGGTACATTTCGGACTCCTTACCTCTTCCGGTTCCCAAATTAGGTCCATTTGATGTTCCTCCCTTGGATTGAGACCGTTTCACTCATGTTTGTCCTCATAGTCATGTGGAGAACTATTAATCCATGTTTGGGTAAGTATGGGTCCATCTAGTTCATCTTATACACTACAAGTGAGTTTCCACAATGTGGAGTCACAGAGGTACATTTCGGACTCCTTACCTCTTCCGGTTCCCAAATTAGGTCCATTTGATGTTCCTCCCTTGGATTGAGACCGTTTCACTCATGTTTGTCCTCATAGTCATGTGTAGAACCTATTAATCCATGTTTGGTAAGTATGGGTCCATCTAGTTCATCTTATACACTACAAGTGAGTTTCCACAATGTGGAGTCACAGAGTGTACATTTCGGACATCCTTCCTTACCTCTTCCGGTTCCCAAATTAGGTCCATTTGATGTTCCTCCCTTGGATTGAGACCGTTTCACTCATGTTTGTCCTCATAGTCATGTGTAGAACCTATTAATCCATGTTTGGGTAAGTATGGGTCCATCTAGTTCATCTTATACACTACAAGTGAGTTTCCACAATGTGGAGTCACAGAGGTACATTTCGGACTCCTTACCTCTTCCGGTTCCCAAATTAGGTCCATTTGATGTTCCTCCCTTGGATTGAGACCGTTTCACTCATGTTTGTCCTCATAGTCATGTGTAGAACCTATTAATCCATGTTTGGGTAAGTATGGGTCCATCTAGTTCATCTTATACACTACAAGTGAGTTTCCACAATGTGGAGTCACAGAGGTACATTTCGGACTCCTTACCTCTTCCGGTTCCCAAATTAGGTCCATTTGATGTTCCTCCCTTGGATTGAGACCGTTTCACTCATGTTTGTCCTCATAGTCATGTGTAGAACCTATTAATCCATGTTTGGGTAAGTATGGGTCCATCTAGTTCATCTTATACACTACAAGTGAGTTTCCACAATGTGGAGTCACAGAGGTACATTTCGGACTCCTTACCTCTTGTTCCAATTGTTTAATGATACATTTATGATATTTTATAAGAAATTATTTATAATAAAAATTCGACAGCACTATAATCTACAGCCACAACAAAAAAATCTACAGCCTAAATTCTACAGCAAAAAATCCAAAGTTACAGACACAACCAATCAGGCCCTTAGTTTCTTTTTTATTGCTGTAAAAAAAAGTTTTTTTTTTTTTTTTGTCAACAGCCTTCGTGTTATATGTCC